TATTTCACGTGCTAATTTGCGTTCACTTCGTTGTCATGAAATGAAACCAGCACATTATTTTGAATATGTGTTGCAAAGGTAATGAATACTAGATTTGCACACGTTTGTGTTGCGATGCAGGTATCTATCGCACGATTAGAAATCGATTTCATATCGATGAATATGATGCGTCGTTGCATGCCTATTTGCCCAATAATCACAGACAGAAGCTCTTCCTTCAAACACACACAGAGTGCACAAACTCAAGAATGATTTCGAACAATTTCACTGTGCACACGTTGATACGTGCTCGCTTACAATCATGCACACACGCTGCACGCTCGCGCACAGGATGCGCACAAGCAACGGAAGGTCACGAGATGAAAATGACGGTTGAATGCTGGAGTACTGTGTGTGAGCGGTGCACCACATTATGGATAGGTCAAACCACTTATGCATTATGCCGCTCTCGCAGACAATGTTTACTCCTGTATATCATAACGATGACAATTGATGATCAGCCTTGGCATTTAATAGAGAGGGGGGAGGGGGGGGCGGGGATCTCAGTGTGAATCTGTGACAAAACATCTCATTGTGAGTGATAGCATCAGCATAAAAAAACGGCAAATCCAATGAATTGGCAACATTGGGCGCGTGTGCATTTAACGATACACCACGATGTGGAAAATACATATAAGTCAAGAAACAAACTGGCTCCAATGAATGTAAACCTTTCGAAATGGCTTGCACATTTTTGTCTTTCAGAATCCATACATTTAAATCAGGGATGTTCTCCCAATATTTGGTTGATTCCGAAAATTGGGCTATCATATGAAATGTCCCATGATTCAACCACTCAAAAAAATGTTTTCAGGATTTATCTGCAAATGTGATGCCACATAACGATACAGCACTTCCATTGCTGTGTTTCGTGATTTAAAAGTGTCATCACATGGTCATGTTTTTGACAACACATGCCATCGCTTTTGCTTAATTCTTAACACATACATTGTTTTTACATTTTTTGCTTGATGGAAATGCACGTAAAAAAATCGAATGATTAATATTTAAAATCAGTAAAATGAAATAGTTCAGTATATAATGTATGCACTGTACGCTCTACTTCTTTCACACCGTACGCAGTCAACCGGGCTAATCGGAGTTGCTCATGACATTTAAAAATTTGAAAATACAAAGGATGAAATTAAATACAAAATTAGGCCGAAAAATTCGAGTATTAAGCATCCCCCATAAAACATCATCCCTCACATAAACACGTGATTGTTCAATAAAGTAAAAAAAATAGAGAAAATATTACATCAAACCCGTATGATCCGGTGCAACATCCCATCCTTCAGATATTTGAAGCGTACTTATTGTGAGCAAAGCACAGGATGACTGCAAAACATTGCAAACAACAGAGAAAAAAATCAATGGTAACCTTTCGAGAACCGAAGAGCCATATGTTGTACTTAACAAGTTGTAACAAATCAGCTGACATTGGTGCTTATCACAACTTTCACGGGAACAAGGTCAGAGTCTAAAGTTGATCACAACCGATTGCTGTTGTTTGCCACGCTGCTTTTGCCAAAGCTTACTGACCTTCAACAAGAACCTACAGCAAGGTTGACGTAATTATATTGTTTGGGTTAAATCCCGTAAGAATAAATGTGTCGAAACCCTCCACCACCCGACACGGACAATTAAGTAGGGGATTCATCACGCAAACCAAACGACAAATAATTTACTACTTCAGCCCACGGGCGTGTTGAAGAGTGAATGCACAACATTTACAACTTGAGTACGATGTCTCGCTGGCAATTACATCCAGCATCATCGTGCGATTTACGTGACAAATCCCCTACTCATCTTCTTGGTTCTTTCGGTAAAGTCACGTAGAAGGGAAATAATAAAATAATACAAATAAAACTTAATAAAATAATTCTCACGACGTTTTGGCCACAACGCTGCTTGCTGCTTGCGTTGTGGCCAAAGCGTCGTGATAATTATTTAATTATATTTTATTTGTATTATTTTATTATTTCCCTCTTACGTGACTTTACCGACAGAACCAAGAAGATGAATCCCTGTAGTCACGAAAGCTTCAAATCGAAACATCCCTTACTGATTGGCCGTGTCGGGTGTTGGAAGGGTTTCGACGCATTTATACTGACGCAATCTAACCCAAACACCTTTATTATGAATAATATTGGTCGCGAAAGCGTGTTAAACTAAGCAAGGTTGACCTCCGTCTTCGTTGGCCTAATCCTACAACATCGTATTATCTCCACCATCTGGCTATAGGTCTTCCCCTTGTTTACCGACCTCTGGGTGCAACTTCAATGCGCGTCTCGGTCACCTGCCATCCTCCACCTTACACACGCGCCCCATCCACCACAAACCTCATTCTCCAAACCCTGCACACTTGTCCCGCCTATCATCGCAATTTGTTCTTCGTGAACAATTTCCCCGCCGCGATTGAAGTCATCATTTTGCATCGTTTCACATTAATGAACATTTGACCTGCCACACTCACGCTAAATGACACGGGCATATATGTTTTTTCCTTTTTGGCTTAACGCAACTCAATTGCTCTACTGCGTAGATTGTTTTGTATGTGCTGTGCAGCTCTCTGATGTGTTTATTTGGCTGCACTTGCGTGTTTGCTCGGCACGATGTTTGACGTTCCGCTTTAAGGTCCTGCAGAAGCACGTGGAAGCTGCCATCGTGAAAAAAAATCAATTCGCAGTACAACCCGATAACACATCTTCGAGTTAAGCTAAATTTCCTTTTAACACTGCAGACTTTTTTCTGCGTTTTAATGCACGAGGTTTGCAAATTTTCTATATGGCATTGTACAGTTTGCTTAAGAACCTGCCGTTTATGTTACAAAGAGGTGTCATATCCAGTGATAAACGAAAGTGTATTGTTGTTTAACCGGGTGAGAGCAGCGTAGGTCTGATTTGCAAGAGTGATCTTGGTCACCAAATATTTTATAAATGCAAACTGATACAAGCACAACGATTAGGCTCAGATAATTCAGAGAAAAGCAACTGTGGCCACTTGGGAAATCTCCGTCAAACGATAACGTCTCATAATGTTGATCATCACATTTCATATTGTTGATGATCACGTGCGATGATGTTGTTGATCACGTGTGATGTTGTTGATCATCACTTGTGAAGTTGTTGATCACGTGTGAAGTTGTTGATCACGTGTGACGTTGTTGACCATCACGTGTGATATTGTTGGACGACAATTTCATTGCGTGTGATTAGACGCAAGAATCCAGCTGGGGTTGTTGCGGCACAGCACGGATTCCTCAAGAGTTGGGAGGTTGCGAGCTCAGAACTCCATCAGCGGACGACTCAGGCCATCCAGGGTCATACAATGAAACACACACACACACTTTGTGGATAATCAACAACGGTCATCGCATGGAACAACTGGTCCCTGCCATGGGAATGTGGAAATTCTACCGCCGCATCTTGGCTGCTAGTCGAGATGAGTGCTGTTCCATTGCTCCTTTGTGCGTTGAGACACTGATTTATGACATTAAAAGACAGTCTGGGCAGACTTTATCACTGCTATTGTTAATCACTGCCTTATAAGTGAGAATAATTAAATAAGCGAGCGTTTTGCACGACCGTGCTTAACGATGGCAATGAATAAGAGGGAAGCCATAAGATTGATGTGCGATAAAAAAATAGTTTACACTGCAGTGCCAAAAAGATTATGAAGATTACAATAAAGTACAACTGTGATTTGTATCGCGCATAAATGTTACTGCTTATCAAGATGCCGTACAGAAATGTTAGGTAAACGCAACATAGTATTCGAAAACGTTTGCATTAATAGATACAAAACAATGCATTTTAAATTAAACAATAACAAAACATAAAAAAATCGAAACAAGACAAAATGATAATCATACAAATTATACTAAAATAGTGGATGCTACCGTGGTAGTAATGGTTATGATGCTAGACTTGCAATCTACAGGTCACCGGTTTTACCTTCTTGCGCGGCACTTGAAACGACGGCGCAAGTTTCTTTTATTCCTCGCCACCAGTTTGAGAATAAAACAGACAACTCACTTCAAAGACATTTCCACCACGTCCCTTGTTGCATGGCATGCCGACACACCCAGGTCAAGTGATGTAACTATCTAGAAAACAATTACATGTGCAGCGGCCGAACCTCACATGAAGTTCTCCAATTTCGAAAGTGCTACGTATGCTCACGCGAAACAAAACAACAACAACAACGACGACAACAAAATAGAAGAGTCTCAAAACGAGTCGACAAATAATCATTACAAAATTCTAACGACAAAAGGATCGAGAGAAAAGTTGAGAAAAACACTACATTGAGGAGCCCATCCTGCCTTCCACACGTTCCGGACGTTATCGCATCCCCTTGAAGGAAAGGCTATTTCCGAGTGACAATGAAGCGTGCGTGAGCGTTCTGAGCACGTGAGACAAACGTTTTTTTTTGCTTTCTGTGTGGGTGAGGAATTTTAAAGCCTCGGGACGTTTTCGATGGACCAAAGTGCATTAAACGGCAATGGGGAACAATGTCGCGAAGTGACTCTTCATCAGGGTCACCCGTTGTCACGTCAGGCTGTGGACTTGCCAACGACTCTTTGGGTTACGTAGGTGCACCCATTCTTACCAGGCGTTCGGTATCTGTCCATGGTTACAACTTGTGGTGAGCATTCCCTCCATCTTATTAAGTCAAGATAAAATAATCTCCTTTCCTCTTCCCATGACTACCCTCCCCCTCCCGATTAAAGTATATCCTCCAGGGTTGCGCTGGGTGTTGAGCAGCATTTGTTTGTCTTCAGCTTTCGCCACACACTACTGCGGGCATCTTCAGGAGAATTAACTCGTGACGATGCCCGTATAGCCTACTTCTGGAAAAAAATATAATCCACCACTTGGCCTACAAAGCGGCATCACCCCCCCCTCACGACCCCCCCCCACCCACACGTATTAAATTAACCGCTCTCCCTATTTAACACGTAGCAGGCTTTCGCGACCAATATTATTCATAATCAAGTTTTTGGGTTTAGATCGCGTTATTTATAAATGTGTCGTAACCCTCCACCACCCGACACGGCCAATCAGTAAAAAAGTGTCACGTTGACAAAAGACAATTAGTTCACTGCTTTAGCCCACCGGTGTGTTGAAGCGTGAAACCACATCAATTTACAATTTGAGTACGACGTTTCGCTGGTAATTGCATCCAGCATCATCGGGCAATTCGCCAGAATGGTGAGGCTCTGCTGTGTCTCCCGTTCTTATATAGAGCAGCAGCAGGGTTACAATAACTTTTGCCCTTCCATACGCGTTCAAACCATCGCGGAGCACATTACAAGTGAACGTCAGCATAAGATTTCGGTGGCCAGGACGGTTTTGCGTGGTGCATCATCCCACTGCTCAAGTTACTCCCCCCGACTGTTGCTCTTTGTTTTGGTCAGGTGAGTTATTTACAATCGAATGAACTCACTTTGCTCACCGTCGTTCGCGCGGACGCAGGCTCGGGGCAGATCCGTTACATCAAGGAGTTCGTGGGAGATTGTCACGAGTTGAGGGGTGGCCATAGTCCAGCAGTGGATTGACCAAGGCCCATGATGATGATGATGATCATGTCACACTGATTTTTTATCTGGTTGGCCTGTACTGCGTCATGATATGCTTATGTATTTAGATACAATGTAAATTATTATTGATATATATTATAATTTATATATTCATATATATATATACTCCATGACCAATGACACAATGAAATATTACGTTTTTCATAAGTGCTGTACATTGACAGAGAAACGGTGGGAGAGGGGTGCTGAGAAGAAGAGACTGCATTACTGCTGCCTACTTAGCTTCCCATTTGTCCTTTCCGTATTAACGCTCTTCACGAGCAAATCGGGACAAATGTGCAAATGTGGCCTTTTGTGCTCAAATACCCGAGATTGATTTCTGCGGGCATCCCATATCCATGTAATGGTACAGTTTATGTGTGTATATATATATATAGACTTACAGCCCAGGGCTGCACCAAAAGTAAATCCTCCTATTTTTCCAAAATCAATAACGTTTTATTGAACGGATACAAAATGTTATTCATGGGAATGCCAAGAACATTTGGCAGATTTTTTTGTTTTAACATTGCCTCATATTTTCCAATGCACCGGTGCCAACGTGGGACCACGGGCCGAGAATTCCAACACAATAAAACGATTCATCGGTGTCGCACAAACCGTCAAAGAACAGTGCTCTTTGCCGGCAGTGCCATTTTCACGATGTTGCTCACATAAACCGTCCTTCTTGGTGGCCGAGCAGTGATAATTTGAACGCGCCAGATCTATTCTGCACGGCAGATGTGGCAGAACATTCTGTGCAATGACCTCTGATGTTTCTCGGGCTCGCGTATATTGTCTGGAATTGTCAGATGCAAATATCGGCGTGCCAACTCAAGCATGCATCGAGTGAAATAAGCAGCACAGTAAACCTGACCTCATCGTCCAGGTAGCCGGACCAGATGTTTCACCAGTCGGTACTATCTGAGGGTGGCGTAACTTTTGCAGTTACAATTTCTTGATGTGGCCAATAACACTGAATTTTAGTGGATAAACATTGCAAATGATCAAAACACTCGTAAAGTTCTGATACCTCGGGTTGCACCGTGTTCTGCTTTGGCATGTGGACTATGAGCAATGACCTCCGGAATTCTGACGATAATTTGGGACGATCTGGCATCGTCATGTTGGAGGAGTGCCTCTGTCGATTTGGAGTCTACTGAGAAGAAAAGAAACGAGGTGTTACTTTTTGGAAGTCACCTGGGTAATAAATTCACACAACCCAGTACAAGTTGTCTCCACAACCGCGTATGGTATAAATATAATTCGAAGCAAACATTGAATAGCGGTCATTTTCAAGGGTCCGGCAGCTACAACTCATCTGCTCAGAAGTCCGAGCAAGCGGGTGTGAAACAAGCATCCTCACCCCCCCTCCCGCCCACAATGTATTTATAGCAGTGCACGAGTTAAATAAATAAACAGGCACGCCTCATGTACACACACGTCTCATTCGGCACTATTAAAATCCCTGAGCATTTTTGCTTCTTTCAAACGCCTATGCGGTACTATACAGAGTACTATATACAGGGTAGGCCATTTACCTAGCAAGGCATGAATTATGTTTGTAGAGAAGATGCCATTGTATGGCAGCGCTTTATAAAGCGCCAAACACAAGGACACGTCTTTGCGCATTTACCAAGTCACTTCCCTTAGGATAGAAAATATTGCGTTACACGCTGCACATGCCTGATGATGAATTTGCATTGTCACTTTCTTTTTTTTGTCATAGAGGGAAACGCATCACTCTCAATAAGTACTTTGCATCGTGTTGGGTAATAGAAGGATCCTCCGCATATGCTTAACAGACTATTGGGGCAAGTGCTGTTAGCGAGCACCTATTAAGGCTGGCACGGCACACGATGGGGTGGGTGGCCAGCACCATGCCCGGCCAACTTTGTCTCTGCAGTTCTGATATCTACACACCGTACTCATTTGGGGCCGAGTCGACCTAGGGGAGGCCCAGTACCGGTTCAAATAATCGTCAATGATGTTGAAAGTGAGTCGGAATCGAACTTGGTTCGCCAGGTTCGTAGTGCAGCACGCTAACCGCTGCACTATCGCTCCCCGCAGGTTTGGCACATATGCACACACAGTCACAAAAAGTCGATCTTAATGCAACCAAAGCACTCAGTCCATGCGAGACACAAGTGCCCACACACCCACAAAAACAATACACTCGCTCTTAATCTGAAACAGCAACAACTTGCGTCACCTGAAACATACCAAAACAAATACAGTGATCTTAATTCGAATATGTTCTACTTTATGTGGCCAGTGTACTGATCATCAGGTGCATGCGGTGTACAACGACTCCAATGTGCATTGAACGGAGGAAATTGGTAAATGGAGTTTGCTATGTGAGATTTGTGTACCATTCCGCAAGGGACACGTCTTTGCGCATTTACCAAGGCAATTAAAACACAGGCTCGCACAATGCGGTGTGTCCTTACATTCAGCCATCAGCTACCAAACTTAGCCAGCATTATTTCCCAAAGCACAACTTTATTATTAATATTCGTAACCCCACCACCACCATTTCCATCGCCACAGACATTGCACTGCACACACCGGTGCACCCTATACCACTGTGTTCTTCGACTTTCTCAGTATTGCCTTGGGGGGCGGGTGACCCTCAGAGTCCCTCTTGGCATGCGCAATCACGGTCGTATCCCTGGCGTGGTAGGAAATGCTCCTACTGTCCCTTAGGAAGCCAGAGGGTGGCAGAGCCTGCAGAGCACCCGCGTTCAATTGCACGGAGCACGCGAGCTGCTGCTGCTGCTGTTGCTGATGGTGGTGATGGTGATGGATTTGGTGGTGGTGGTGTCTCAATTGCATGGCTTCCACCTGCAGCGCGCTCTGGTTGCAGACGATTTGCCCCAACGGATGACCCCGTGCCTCCACTGATGGCAAAGGGTCCTCATTACTTTCCTCCTCCTCTTCTTCCTCGACCAAGTCGCTGAACTCGACGAGGTCATTGAAGCGTACACGATCCTTGAGCGCGTGTTGGTCCACTTGCCGGTGCTGATAACGATGCTGCTGCTGCTGCTGAAGATGCTGTTGATGATGATGGTAATAATGATTCGACTGATCATGTTGATAAGAGGCCGAGTCCCGCACGAGCTCTGTCCGCTGCCGCACTGCCGTGTAGCTCAGCTCGAACTGCCGCCGTTGGCAGCAAAAGTTCTCTCCCACTTCCCGCTTCCTCTCCCTGTCGCCGCCGTCTCTTGCCACAGTCCCCTGCTCCTCCTCCTCCTCCTGCTCTGTCGGCTCCAAGGAGCTGCCCCGCTGGCCCGGATCCTCGCAAAAGGGCAGCTGGGGCAGCGACACAGGTGTGGTCCTGGGAGGGGGTGGAGGTGGCCTCGGCTTCCGGAGAACGGTGAGCACGGAGGCGCTGGCCGAGGTGCGGCTGGCGAAGGCGCTGACCGTGGTGCTGAAGCGCGAGGCGTTGATCGTGGTGCTGAAACGCGCGGCGCTGACCGTGGTGCTGAAACGAGCAACGGCAGCCGCGCCGCCTCCGCTGGAGCCAGTGTTGCCACTCGAGGAGCTGTTGAGGGTGCTGCACTTGGAGTCGTCCGTCTCCTCGTCCAGGTTGAGGCTGGCGGTGAGCGTGTCGATCTGGGAGACGACCTAGGCACGGCGGGAGAGAAGCCGGCGGTGGGATGGGGGTTGTTCCACATCGCACGCGTGTGAATGAATATATGTTGAGCTTCTTTCGCACCGTATGTGGTCAACTGTGCTAATCAGAGGTGCGGGGGAAGGACAACAAACTAAATACAGGTGGTTGAGTCCACGCGAACAGTACGTCATATACGTAACGCTACGTATGAGTAGTGCACTCTAACTTCTGTTTTTAATTGTGTGCATGTGAGGAGCGATAGTGTAATGGATAGTGCGCTCAGCTACGAATCCGAGGTTGATTCCGGCTCACGTCCACAAATACCAGTGACAATTATCTGAACCAGTCTTGGGCCGCCCCTAGGTCGACTCGGCCTCAAATGAGTGCCTGGTGAGATATGTAAACATGGTCACTCGGGAGACAAATGCGGCCGGGTGTGGTGCTGGCCATCCACCCCTTCGTGTGCTGTGCCGACCTTTTGAGTGCTTGATAACAGGACTTGCCCCAACAGTCTGTTGAAGCTAAACATGAAGGATCTGTGCCTGTGTGTGGGGGGTTGGTTGGTCGTGGCACCAGTGCATTGAATCGCGTCTATGGCGAACAAGTTTACTTATGGTATATCTATTAAGCCTCCATGATGTCAATTCAGTCTTAGAGGAAAGTACCTAATGAGGTCTGTAAACATCAGCACTGGGGAGACAAAGTGGGCCGGTCACGGAATTCAATAAAGCACTCGATATTGTGCGCCGTGTCGACCTCAGTGAGTGCCCGATAACAACACTTGCCCATAGCGTTAAACACTTCCCCCCACGGTCAGTGTAAGGGCACGTGTTCGCGCATGATTGAATAAACATATGGGACTTTTTGTTTTTGTTGAGGGCAGTCAGAATGTATCAAGGTATATGATCTCCTGCTGACACGGAGAGTGGTGGAAGTTCCACGTTCCCATGGCAGGGAACGGTCTGTCTAAAGGATACACTTGCGTTATACTCACGCGGCAATCTGGCCTGAGAGTAAACTACGAATCATAATATCGGTCGCGAAAGTCAAACGTGTTACATTAACAACTGTTTATTTCCCAAATCATGGTTCTCGTTTTATCGACTCCATTTGGAATACAAGGCTCAACCGCGGTCAGAACTTGCAACCTTCTGATAACGAGAGGGCGTCCTCTGACCAAACAGTGCCACCCAGTCTATATAAATGCAGTACAGTATGTGCAACTCAATGTACAGCACTGCTGAAACAAATTATCATTTAAATGCTGACTCTACATTAATGGTCAGCAGAGCTTATAATGCTTTACACGTATTACACATGTCCGCAACTTATGATTGATTGTATAACATCGAGCGCTGTGAATTAGTGCACATACACACGCACTTACACGTATTACATATCACTCACGTAACAATACGCATTTGTGGAATTGACCAAGCATCTCAGAGGTGGACCATCCTCTTAAGACTCATAGATTGTCTGGCTAATCAAATAAGTTAAGGCAATTTATGCAATCATCGGATTGCGAGTCAAGTGCTATTAACTGCGGCGGGGCCTGGACGGTAGACACCGTGTAGATGATCGTGTTTCACTCGACATTAGGAGTTAAGTGATATTTATCCTGGATGAAATCACGTTGGAAATTGACAGGTGCTGTCAGATATGGGATTTTAAGCAGGGGTTGAGCCTGGACAGTGCTTGGATTGGGGTGACCACCACGTGTAAGAGGCAGGCGCAGTAGGAAGTTGTAGTGCAGTCGAGAGCAGTTCAGCAACATTCACTGCCGTTCTGTACTCTTCCTGCATTCAACAACCCACAGTTACCAGCGTGGTGAAGTATGTTCAACACGTAGGATTTCGCGACCAATATTATTCATAATAAACGTTTTTTTGGCTAGATCGCGTTATATATAAATGTGTCGTAACCCTCCACCACCCGACACTGCCAAACAGTACAAAATGTGTCACGTTTGCAAAAGACAGATAGTGCACTACTTTAGCCCACCGGTGTGTTGAAGAGTGATTTAACATCATGTACAATTTTTGAGTACGACGTTTCGCTGGTAATTACATTCTGGCAAATTGCCCGATGATGCTGGATGTAATTACCAGCGAAACATCGTACAGTGTCGGGTGGTGGAGGGTTGCGACACATTTATACTGTTAGGAACCTCCTGGTTACACCAGCCCACAGGGGATTATTGTGTCCGTCGTGCAGGGAGGGGCTGGGTGGGGAAGGAGGGGCTGGGTGGGGAGGGTGGGGCTGGGTGGGGGGGTGGGAGGGGTGGGGCTGGGTGGGGAGGGGCTGGTCACCCCGTGGTGCCCTTATAAAACTCAATGTTTAACCTACTCACGCCGGCTTGTGCCCGCCCTCACAGTCAGGCATATTTGCGGAATACACCACGCCGCCGTTGACCCTGGCCATTGACCGAGCAACCCAACGTTCCTACCAGCTCCCTCCGCAGGAATGTGTTAAATAAAGCGATCTAACCGAAAAACGTTTATTATGAGTGGTGAAGTATGTTCAGACGTAGCTCCAGAGCAGTGGGTTGATGAGACTGGCAACACAGGACGATGTAACCCGTATCCACGTGAACAGAGAGGCGAGTCCACACTCACGGTTACACACGTGCGTACAATATGCGGAAAGAAGACGGACAGACATCTTAATGAAGGCGTGAGAGCTCACCGAACGGCAAGCGTATTTTCAAGGGAATTATAAATATACTCATACAAACACAGACATATCCTTGCACACACGTGCACGTGCACACATTCACAAGTACGCTAGACCGTAACTGTCATAGAGAATGGAGCATTCACGAATGGGCATTATGAGTGTGCAAAAAAACAATAAATATCGATTCTTAACCTCGCAATACATCGTGATACAACAATCGATGTTTATGGATTCGTATGTGTTGTGAGTAATGGGTTCACGTGACACCATCCAGCCACCAGAGGCCGCTGAATCCACCGCAATGTTTAAATAAACAATCGCTTATGAATCGCCACTGAGTGAACGAGTCGTAAAGAGGTGGTGGTGGGAGGGGAGGCAGGGTTTGGATCGTTTTACATCTAAATAGATACTCGATAACGCGGTGACGAGATGTTCACTACCACGCCTAGTCTACAGGAGGTTCTTGCTTCGATCCCAACCCTCACATTTGTTTATTTGGAAGTTGCATGTTATCCCCGTGGTCACGTGGATTTATTTCCGCGTCTTCCGGTGTTTCCCTTAACATTGAGAAGCATGCGTTGGGAGGATCTGGCTGCTATAAAATTCCACGTCATAAGCCACTTCGTTAAGCTATTTATTTGTGGACAGTTCGCTTCTGAAAAAAAACATTTACAGCTCATTGGACCTTACCTGGTAAAAAAAAAGTTTTTTTTAAGTTTTAGAAAATATAGGCTAGCTTGGAAGAATCGACCAAATACCTTCTAGACTGATTTCCCTAGAGCTCTCTCTAGCGAGGGTCCTTCCGTCGGCAGTGGTGTGAGCAAGCAATTGGAGGGATGCCCCTTTATATTTAAATAGTCTCCTCTACACACAGTGTGACTCCTATACGGAGACGTGTGTGTGTGGGGGGGGGGGTGTCATTTTGTAAGACGTTCACCGGGCCAAAGACGCGTACCTCTTTCAGCTCCTTCGCCACATCCTTCAGCTCTCCGAGCACAATCTCCAAGCCCCCGATCACCTCGCGCACCTGATCCTTCACGAGCGAGCGCTTCACTTGCACGGCGCTATGCTGCTGCCCGGAGAGCTGAAGGAATAATGACGATAATCGTAGCAGCGCGCACACAGACAGCAGCACCAGCAGTCACCACATACACAGACAGCACCACCAGTCACCACACACACAGTCAGCACCACCAGTCACACACAGTCAGCACCACCAGTGACCACACACAGCACCACAAGTCACCACACACACACAGCAGCACCATCATCCACACACAGCAGCACCACAAGTCACCACACACAGACAGCACCAGCACCACCAGCACCCACACACAGACAGCAGCACCACCAGTCACACACAGTCAGCACCACCAGCACACACAGCAGCACCACAAGTCACCACACACAGACAGCACCACCAGCACCCACACACAGACAGCAGCACCACCAGTCACACACAATCAACACCACCAGTCACACACAGTCAGCACCACAAGCACACACAGCAGCACCAGCACACACACACAGACAGCACCACCGGCACACACACAGACAGCAGCACCACCAGTCACACACAACCAACACCACCAGCACACACAGCAGCACCACAAGTCACCACACACAGACAGCACCAGCACCACCAGCACCCACACACAGACAGCAGCACCACCAGTCACACACAGTCAGCACCACCAGCACACACAGCAGCACCAGCACACACACACACACACAGACAGCACAACCAGCACCCACACACACAGTCAGCACCACCAGTCACCACATACACAGACAGCAGCACCAGCATCTACACACACAGTCAACACCACCAGCACACACACACAGACATCACAACCAGCACCCACACACACAGTCAGCACCACCACCACACACACAGTCAACACCACCAGCACACACACACAGACAGCACCACCACCACCCACACACACAGTCAGCACCACCACCACACACACACACCGTCAGCACCAGCACCCACACACACAAACAGCACCACCAGAACCACACACACACAGTCAGCACCACCAGCACACACACACACAGACAGCACCACCACCCACACACACAGACAGCACCACCACCCACACACACACAGACAGCACCACCAGCACCACACACACACACAGTCAGCACCACCAGCACCCACACACACAGACAGCACCACCACCCACACACACAGACAGCACCACCAGCACACACACACACAGTCAGCAGCACCAACAAATACACACAGACATACCCACCAGCATCCACACACACGTGTGGAGACATCACCACTAGCATCCACACACACGTGTAGAGACATCACCCCCAGCATCCACACACACGTGTAGAGACATCACCACCAGTATCCACACACACGTGTAGAGACATCACCACCAGTATCCACACACACGTGTAGAGACATCACCACCAGTATCTACACACACGTGTAGAGACATCACCACCAGTATCCACACACACGTGTAGAGACATCACCACCAGTATCCACACACACGTGTAGAGACATCACCACCAGTATCTACACACACGTGTAGAGACATCACCACCAGTATCTACACACAGACATCACAGACACACGAAGACCCAACGCACCCATGCACATATAACAGCAACACCAGCAACCACACGCATAGTTTGCTCCTCTGGGCTGCACCATCGTGTACATATACACCATCTGTGTACATGGCTGTGTATTAGATGTGCGTGCATACATTCGTCGCTGCGGACAAGTCAAAGTTATGATTCAGTAATAAGAGAGACAAGGGGGGCTGGGAACGGTGGCGCAATGGTTAGCGCACTGCACGATGAATCTGGCCATTTCAGTTCATTTTACGATCACGTCTAATATCAGTGGTATGAAGAAGAGCCATTTCTGGTCACCTATCATATATAATACATTTGTTGATGTTTTCGTTGCTATCGGTGCAGAGTGATATCTGAACCGATCCTGAGATTGCCCACCAACCCCAGTCCTTCACAAATCGGCAGTGACCAAATGTGGTGAAGTATGACCAAACGGACGTGGCATGGTGAAGGTTGCCCCTGTCCAGGGAGTTGCTTGTCAACAGGTCTGTAAACAGAGAGCGGTGAGCGGGCTTGTGCAGGATTCTAGATTTGAAGCTTTCGTGACTGCAAGGATTCATATTCTTAGGTTTTTTCGGTAAAGTCACGTATGTAAAAAATTAAAATTAATAAAAGTAAAATAAAAAATCACGACGTTTCGGAGGCAACACAAGCTTCCGTCTTCAGGTGGGACCGTCACAGCACGATGTGCAGGATGTCGTCTCTCATGGGTTGATGATGGGTGATGGGCTGAGACTTTTGCATTGAATGGCAGGCAAAGGATGGGAAATGTGCCAGAGAGGACGACAATATACGGAGACGGGGGGGGGGGGGGGGCTCGGTAGGAGGGCACATGCAGGAGAGTAGACACACACACACAGGCAGAGTGCGATAAGAGACACAGATGAGTGACGAGACCTTTTTTCGCACCGTACGTAGGCAACCGTGCTAATGGGAGGTGCGACGCTCATACGGCTGCGAGCGAAGCGAAGGAGACAGAGGGAGGGGAATGCATCGGGTTAGTTTGGTCACGGTGTTCATGATATGTGTGGAAAGAGCTTCATAGCTCATCGGATTCCTCCCGTATAAATGAAGATTCTGATATTTGTATGGTCCAGGCGTTTGTGTTGTGCTATTTCAAGGAACAGCATTATAAATTGGAGGTGCTAGCTGTACTGGTTGTGACAGCGCATGCCAGGGGCCAGTACTCGTCTTCTGGATAGTGCTGGCATTAGTCGGGTGTTCGAGGGGAGTGTTAGCTTTAGAGAAAAGTGTTGGAGGTTGGTTTTAGTGTGATGGGGCGTCTACGTGTTTGGGGCAGTTTTAGTTGAAAGTATTTCAGGGTTTCGTTTTCTCTGAGCGTCTCTTGCTCAGCGGAGTTTTGCGTTGTTATCAATACTCTTTGGTTCTTTCGGTAAAATCACGTAGGTGTTAAATAAAACAAATCACCCGATAACGGACGCTTGTGTTGCACCCGTAACGTCGCGATTCGTTTTATTTTCTACCTACGTGACTTTACCGAAAGAACCAAAGGAGTATGGATTCCTGCAGTCACGAAAGCTTCAAATCAGGTATTATTGATTGTACATTTGCATGATGGGCGGGAGCCTCGTGGTAGCATGACCGCACTGTTTACTTGCTACAAGGTTGGACCTATTGCCATCGACGCTGGAGGGATGATGGGCGAAGCCAAACCTCAACTCATGAACTTTTCTCAGTCCGGACCACTATCTTTACGAATAAGTACATGGACATTATATATATATAAAAGTCCATGTTAAACTGATAATGCTTTTTTTCGATTTAAAGCTTTCGTGACTGCAGGGATTTATCTTCTTGGTTCTTTCGGTAAAGTCACGTAGAAGGGAAGTAATAAAATAATAAAAAATAAAACATAATAAAATAATGATCACGACGTTTCGGCTACAACGCAAGCAGCCGTCTTCAGGTTGCTTGCGTTGTAGCCGAAACGTCGTGAGAATTATTTTATTTTATTATGTTTTATTTTTATTATTTTATTACTTCCCTTCTACGTGACTTTACCGAAAGAACCAAGAAGATGATAATGCTTGAATAGTAAAAATTGCATGTCGTATCTGTTCATTATTCTCTTAACCCAAAGGGATATTAATCACGTGATGCCCATGCGCAGCACATGTTCCAGCTTGTGCTTCTGCTATTCGATTAGGAGACCACTAATAGTTGGAGGACAATTTAAAAAATTTTGAAATATTTCGTATGATAAGGCGCCAAGTGTCATTATTTTAATTAAGAAAATTGACAATTCAAAATACTTTAAGCACTTGTCAGCCAGTAACAGCCAGTTTCACAGTTCCCGTATATGACTGTGCAATATGTAGTGTACGTAGGGTATGTATGGAAAGGGTTGTTATATATAGAGTGTATGATTAGTCTACGTTCTGAATTGATTGCTTTGTTAGCAATGTACGAGATGAATGGTTGAAGTACTGTAATGTGTGTCTTATAGAAGTACTATTTACGTGACAAACCTTACCGGTTGGCTGTGTCGGTGGTGGCGGGTCACGACACATTTATACTAACGCGATAGAACCCAAAGACAATTTATTGATGAAAGGTATTATTTAGCGAGTACGTTAACTCCACTGCTAGAGTGAAATGCCTTTCTCCGCCAAATCGGTAATAGCTGGTAAGTGCGGGTGGGTGAAATGGGTAGGGTGGGCAAGCCTATATCAGATATCCCTCGCCGGCGATGTAATCCGTGGCCGGGAATCGAACCCAGGTCCTCTCGGCCGGGTCCATAGCGCAGTGGGCGAGAACCACTAACTCACTGCGCCACCGATCGCCCGATACATTTTATCTATAAAAAAAAGTCACTAAGACGTCTACAGTACTTTCATACGTTCCACAGTCATACACACGCGCGTGTTATTCAACCAGCTGAAATCATTGGCAGTGCACTACATCACTAGAATTCTACAATCGTGAAACCTCGCAGCAATCACGCTAGGCATTTATAAAATGACGCATACTTCCTTCGCTTCGTCAAACCGAAGAGCCCGCGACGTTCTAAAACAAACATCAACAAAACAGCGTGCGGTACAGCGCACGCTTCCTTTAACTTATCAATGCGATGTGTAAACAAGACGCATCATTTTTTTTATTCTGATACCTTTATATTCATCAGTTCGTTCATCATACACGGACAATACCCCCCCTCCTCCTTCCATTTATTCCGCTCCCAAGTTCACGCGTGAATCCAAGCGAACTACGCACGGGTACTCACCATAATTCTTGCAATGCCTCTGGGCTCGGCGCATTGAACGCAGTTCCTCCGTTAGTGGGACTCGAACCGGCGAGATTCAAAGTCGGCGGCGCGCGGCACGATGTGGTGCGAGCCAGCCTCCGGCGTTTCATTGCGGGCTCCGATCTACTCAGCTTTGCTATCGTCCGTACGTGTATAAGATGCAGGATATATCTCTAACCGTGCAGCAGTACAACAGTTTCATATCGGTACCAGTCACGAGCGCACACACGCATACCTAATGACAACCGAAGAGCCGATTACATATTGAGCGTGCGTGTATGTGTACGCATGCGATCACGAGCTTCCGTCAACTAAATAAGCACAAAACGACACGAGCGTCGAAGGGCTCGCTAGCGCAAGTCGAGTCTGCTGCAGACCATACAGAGGAGCCGAGCTTGGCTTGCCGCCGGCTCTGTGGAGGGCGAGGAAGGGGTCCGTTTGTGATCACGTTGGAGGAAAAGAAGGTTCCGCGCCGCCAAGAATGTGGTGGGAGGTGAGGGGGAGGAGTGGTGGTGGAGGGTGGTGGGGATATAGAATTGGAACAAAATAAATAAATAAATTGCGTCGCCTCTCTGCAGTGGGGGTATATGCTCCATGCATGTCTCCCCCGTCTCTCCCTCCTCCTCCTCGCTCTATATCTCCTCTCGCGACTCCCACGGTCGGGGACTTTAGCTGAAACCCTCCAACCACGTCTGCTCCCTCCCCCTCCCTACCCACCACCACCACCACAACACTCCCACCCACCGTTCACCACGCACTCCCTTTCCCACTGAGCGATGAGTGAAAGTCTGATTATGACCATGGGGTAAAGAGGAAGGCTGCGCTGCAGGAGACTTGCAGCCCCCCAGGTTTCGCGTGCTGCGTAGTGCGAGTGGAGTGGTGGCTCAGCGGCTAACGCACTCCCCCCCAGCGAACCCGGACATCTGAGTTCGATTACCGGCCACGGTTAACATTAGTTGGCAAAAAAAGCGATCGACATTGGGCTCCTCCACCAACCGTTAGCAACGTGCTCTGAGCAGTGTGACCATGTCACCTCGGTGAGCGACATGGCTTCCATCCAGCGGTAGACTGATAAGGGGTTGCGCACATTCGCATGATGATAATTTACACATTTAAAGTCCGGTAAAGGCCCCCGTTGAGACCAACATAAGTCTATTTCAAGGGAGAACTTGGCACAATAAATATAGTACAATAGCAAACGGGTATTGAGAGTGACCATTAACACCCAGGGTCAAACATCATACACCTTAAACAAACAAACAAACTAAAATTCCAGCGCAATGATTACAAAATTGCAGCCTCGAATGCCGCTGCCCCGGTCCAACCGGTCGACCACAATGGATGTGCAAATCGGACATGGCCGGTTTGCATCGATCTGGCCAGCGAGGCAGTCGAAACGATGGTGCCGCGAAGTTGTTCAACTTCCCCCTCCCCGCTCCCTCCACCTCCCTCCCCCCCCTCCCTCCCTCCCCCCTCCCTCCCCCCTCCCTCCCTCCCTCCCACCACATCTGTTCACCACCAGCAACATGAATGGGTAAATGTCAGTGCATCACTCGGTCCCGTGTGGTGGGTTCACGTGTGGGTGCTCCCACATTTTTCTTTGCCCAATACATATCAGACAGTGCCGAAGAGTAGGCCAACTACCCCCCGGCCCCACCGTGGGGTGGGGGCTATCTCGTGTTCCCTTTAGTGTACGGCCTTGCACCAGCAGTAGCTTGCGCAAGCAGTTGCAGGGCTGCACCTCAAGCTTATCGTCATAGTAGGCAGCAAAAAGGTTTTATGGGCCGTTACAAAATTGCAATTCGGAACGAAATATCAAATGCGTATTGCAACCTCATAAAAACCAAACGGGTACTACATTTGAACAGCTGAAAAAAACGTGCTAAACATCATCACAGCAAACATCGTAAGAATAAACGGTTCTGAGTGCAACAAATTATAATTCGGTTCAACATCATCACATTAAAAAGTTACAAAGTGGCCCACATGGGAATTCAGCATTTCATATCATAAACAACACAATTAGCAGCAAATGCGTTCTAAGGTACACAAAATGAAAAGGCGTTGTTAAAACAAATTTGTAATTGAATAAATTTGTTTATTCACCGAGTAAAAAAACAAACGAGAATCCAAGCCAGAAACAACAATGCAAAGTTAATCGACTGCTCAGTCAAAGAATGGAATGCGTCGGGGAGGGCCATTCACCGTGGAGTTGAGAGCGATGCAATTATCTCGTGTGCAGCAGGTTCCGTGGATTATTACAGCTTGGGAAGCCTGCACAGCCAACAGTGAGTTGACTATGGCTAACTACTCATAATGAGGATGATTCAATTGAGCAGGCCATTCCTGAACTTGGCTTTTGAGCTTCTTGACGCCTCATCAGCAAATACTTGATAACGATGTCAAAGTCGGGCTCTTCCTGATCCATGGCTAACGCACACACACACCGCTTGTCAAGGCATTAATCTTCTTGCTTTATATTTTACAAGATTATAATCCGCATATGTTTGTATAGGGTGTGTATGGTAGCGGTCATGGCACTGCGCTACAAACCCGGCAACCCGAGTTCGATTCACAGCGAACAAAAGTAACGATTATTTTAACCGGTCTTGGGCCTCCCCTAGGTCGACTCAGCCTCAAATTAGTACTTGGTGTGTAAACATTGCCACTGGGGAAGCAAAGGACGTGATGCTGACCACCTACCCCCTTGTGTGACGTGACGGCCTCCATAGGTGCTCGCTAACATCCCTTACTCCAGCAATTTATTAGGGCTACATGTGGGGTCTTTGTTTTCATACGAATATTAGCACCTTATAATTCGTCTTTCGCAAAAGTATGTCATTTTGTGCTAGCATCATGGTCGAAATATGAGAAAAATAAATATGTACAAATTATTCAATTGGAATATACACAGCGATCATCACTGCCCCACGTAAAAAATGTTTTTTTTTTTGTCAGGACAGATTAATAGGACTCTTGGGCTTTCCTGGGCAAACAAGAGTAGCAGTAGCAATAATATGCGTATTGTTTGTCCCATAAAATAAACAAAAATATCAGAAAAGAATTTGCCGAAAAATGCAATCAGAAGCATGACCCCTGATGAACATAAGTCTCGAGACTTCGTGAGTATTTTCTGGGTAAACAAAGAATGTTTACGAATAATCCATCACGCAGCTCCGAGTTGTGTTTTTTGGTTCGTACCGCGTGTTGTTCGGCACGTTCCTTGTTGTTTCGCTCCGCGTGCTGGTCCAATATCGACCGATTCAGTTCCTGAAGAAGCTTTCAGCACGTGGGAGCGACGCGTCGGACATCACAATACTTGGTGCGACCCGGAAACACATCAGGGAGAGTTGCAGCGTGACTGTGAAAAAAAACAACGCAGTGGTACGACTCGTTATGTGCTTCTGTGGAACATTATTGGGAGTGAAACAATATTACCTCTTTGGGTTTGATGGAGTGCTTTTGCCAATAGCAACTGGCAGCCCAGTAACAAGTTCTCAGCGAGGCTGCTGACGAGACCCAAAATGTTAAGATGTAACAAACATCGTATGACTATTAACCACGAATGATAATTTTCTAGATTGCAGATGTATGATATAAACGTAATTTTTTTAGTGAATGTCGTCAATTCTAGTGATGTTATAGTATGGTGAAAAAGGTCAAATGTGGTACAAAATACAGACAAATCTCCGTGTTGTTTTACATATATATATATAATTTGGGCCAATAAAAAATATAATCCTGGAGGTGTATTGGTTTTACCCGTATGGCAGGATCAGCCTAATGTTTCAAATTGATTTAACCTCGTGCTAAACACTGAACAATATGCGATCGCATTAATCAGTGAAGCAAATAATTTGCTTCTCAAAGATCGTAATGAAGCTATTCGGCGAAGTGAACCAAGATGTAACACATTACTGTATTTGTGCTGCTGCATTGACAACGGATTGCAAGGCACAATTAACAATAAAACTCACATTAATGAATGACACCGTAGCCTTAGAAGGGGGTGGGGGGGGGAAGCATTTCCCAAACCGTTGCCTATTGTATACTTTTACTTTCATGTTCTCAGCGGTATTGATGAGTTTTTAGTTGCAGCGATGAACACATCAGTGGATAGATTATAATGTTTCAATCGCATCCTGCGGGCAACACAGATTTTTTTGAGAATTAAAAAAATAAACTATGTCGTTATTTGCGAAACATTTTTGAGAATTCCAATTTTTTTGTATCCCAATTATAAGTATTTTTTGTATTTTACGTACTGTGCCAAATCTGACTCGGATGCTTTGTTTTTACAAACATCTGGCTAGTTTATCAGTTACTCCCACAATGCACTGCATTTTAATAGTTTTAATTACTTGGGCAGTTTCTAAGCTCGTGTTATTTGACTTGGTTTTGGAATTCAATGCCCTGTTGATTTGTGCATCATCGTAACCGTTCAATTGCAGCACTTCTGTAACATGTTGAATTTCACTTCTCAGACTATCACCATCTGACACTTTCTTAGCCCGATGAATGAGCGTCTTGATGAGAGTGGATTTCTGTGTGGGGTGATGGTTTGACCTTGCATTCAGATCGGTGTCAGTGTGCATTTTCTTTCGGTAAACGCTGTGTGTTATTTTACCATTTTGACCCCGTCCTAGCAGAATATCCAGAAATGCTAGAGTTCTGTCAGATTTCACTTCCATGGTGAACTGTATGGACAGGTTTGCGAGTTGAGTTGTTTTAGAGATTCGTTAAGTGTATTTTGGCCGTGTGGCCAGACCACCAATGTGTCATCCACATATCTAAACCAAGCAGAGGGTTTTAGTGTGCTTGAAGCTATTGGTTTTGTTTCAAAATCTTCAATGTAAAATTCACTGTCACAGGAGACAAAGGAGAGCCCATTGCTGCTCCTTCCTTTTGTTTATAGAAGTCACCTTTCCACGAAAAATAGATCTTCTTTAAGCTACTAGTGGTAAATCTTTGTCTAAACCTGTGTTCGTTACCAGAGTTTCGAGTAATTTAATTGACTCGTTGACGGGAACCCTCGTGAACAGAGAAGTCACATAAAAACTTACGAAAACATCATTAGGGTTAAGCGTAATATCTTTACTTATATTTACGAGATGTTCAGAGTTTTTGATGAATGAAGAGGTCCTACCGATGTAGGGCTGTAGTTGTTTCGTTACGTACTGTGCTAATTTGACCGAGGCAGAGCCTATTGTACTAACTATGGGTCTTAATGGTACATTCGGTTTGTGAATCTTTGGTAGCCCATCAAGTCTTGGTGGTTTTGATGCCATTGGTTTGATCAGGTATTGCTCTTCCTTGGGAATTGATGACTTGGCGATGATTGCTGCTGTTTAACGTTCCAAAGTGTTGGTTGGGTCTCGTTTAATTTAATATTGGATTTTATTAGCAAAACCTTCACGGGGCATCACAACAACTGATCAGGCCTTACCAGCAGCAAGAATTTGGATATCGTTCCTTGCGCTCAAA